TGCAAAGCCCCATGAGGTCCGGTGCCCATGAGCATATTACTTGTAATGGGTACCCCATGAGCGTGGTTTCTGTTAGCCTGCTCCGCACTAAGCTCTGCCCAATTAAATTTCCATAATAAGTAATCGCCAGGTGAGAGACAAGCCTTCGCCACAGTATTCCAGTCACTAGGAGCCATAGCTTCCTCAGATACTGTATCTAGTAACCCCAGCACAAAGGGGGAGGTTGGTCCATACATAGAACAAGAAGTGTTCAATTCCTTCAAAGTTAAGACTGATGGCCACAGAGCATCTGACCTGAATTCTGAGGATCAGGCTGCTCAAATATAGGGTATAGACTGAATCTTGAAGTATCTTCCCCAGCCTGCCTGGCCTCATACAGAGTCTGCTGGAGTAGAGACAAAGGCACTATATTTGTTTCTGCTTGTTTTGGGGGTAAAAGGAGAGGCTTATGAGCAACAGTAAACTCCCCGGATGCTTGCATCAGACCCCCACCATCCCATTCCCTTGCTGCCTCCTCCTCCAATTCTCATTCATTTTTGGGAGGAAGCACATTGTTCAGAGGCTCTCCCCCACAGGAGCTGTAGCCCCAGGGACTGGAAGAGGCAGTGGAGGTGCCAATGGTACAGGTGGAGTCGGAAGCCTCTGGTAGCCTTCCCCCATCTGTCTTTTTTTAAAAAAAATTGTTTTATTGCTTAAAGTATTACAAAGAGTATTATATATGCCTCCTTTTTTTCCCTCCCCTTGACCTTCCCCTAGCCTCCCATACCCCCCAGTGTCTTGTGTCCATTGGTTAGACTTATATGCATGCATACAAGTCCTTCGGTTGATTCCCCTGCCACATTCATTCATTCCTTTCCCGAAGTGGGCTCTAGGCAGTCCCGAATCAGGGACCACAGACTAAAAGTAGAGGCAGGAATTCCCACTGGACCTTCAGCTATGTAATGATCTCTAACTTGCTTTCCTACCTTCTCCCATGCCTCTACATTTACCTTTCCTTCCTCAGGAAACGATGGGCAAGTTTTATTAACAAAATCTAACAAATAAAGGAGCTGTTGATGTCTAACAGAACAGCCCCATGCTTGGAGCATAGCTTTATTTATTATTTTTTAAAATAAATCTTTATTGTTCAGATTATTACAGCTGTTCCTCTTTTTTTCCCCCATAGCTCCCCTCCACCCGGTTCCCACCCCACCTCATGCCCTTACCCCTCACCACTGTCCTCGTCCATAGGTGTGATTTTTGTTCAGGCTCTTCCCGCACCCTACACCCCCTACCCCCTGAGAATTGTCAGTTCACTCCCTTTCTATGCCCCTGATTCTATTATATTCACCAGTTTATTCTGTTCATCAGATTTTTTATTCACTTGATTTTTTAGATTCACTTGTTGATAGATATGTATTTGTTGCCACTTTGTTGTTCATAATTTTTATCTCTACCTTTTTCTTCTTCTTCTTCTTCTTCTTATTATTATTATTATTATTAAAGAATACTATTATTATTAAAGAATACCCTTCAGCATTTCATGTAATACTGGTTTGGTGGTGATGAACTCCTTTAGCTTTTTCTTGTCTGTGAAGCCCTTTATCTGACCTTCAATTCTAAATGATAGCTTTGCTGGGTAGAGTAATCTTGGCTGTAGGTTCTTGCTATTCATCACTTTGAATATTTCTTGCCACTCCCTTCTGGCCTGCATAGTTTCTGTTGAGAAATCAGCTGACAGTGGTATGGGTACTCCCTTGTAGGTAACTAACTGTTTTTCTCTTGCTGCTTTTAAGATTCTTTCTTTGTCTTTTGCCCTTGGCATTTTAATTATGATGTGTCTTGGTGTGGTCCTCTTTAGATTCCTTTTGTTTGGGGTTCTCTGCACTTTCTGGACTTGTAAGTCTATTTCTTTCACCAGGTAGGGGAAGTTTTCTGTCATTATTTCTTAAAATATGTTTTCAATATCTTGCTCTCTCTCTTCTTCTGGCACCCGGATAATTTGGATGTTGGTACGTTTGAATTTATCCCAGAGGCTCCTACACTATCTTCATATTTTTAGATTCTTTTTCTTTTTGTTTTTCTGGATGGGTGATTTTTGCTTCTTCATATTTCAAATCTTTGACTTGATTCTTGGGATCCTCTCATCTGCTGTTGGATCTCTGTATATTATTCTTTATTTCAGTCAGTGTGTGCTTAATTTCTGATTGGTCCTTTTTCATATCTTTGAGGGTCTCACTAAATTTCTCGGAGGTTTCTAGAAGATACTTGAGTAACATTATAACTGTGGTTTTGAACTCTATATCCAGTATTTTGCTTTCCTCCATTTCTTTCATTTGTGTCCTGTTTCTTTATGTCCGCATTTTGGCTGCTTCCCTGTGTTGATAAAGTGGCTTCATGTGCTAGGTGTCCTATAGAGCCCAGTGGCTCAGCCTCCCCAATTACCTGAGGAGGACACTCTTGGTGCACCCCTTTGTGGGCTGTGTGCACAGTCTTGTTGTAGTTAAGCCTTGACTGCTGTTTGTATCACTGGAAGGAATTGACTTCCAAGCCAATTGGCTTTGAGGACCAGTTGTGTCTAGAGTGGAAGAACTTCTGTGCTGGAGACGCCCTTATGGGGCAGGACTTGCTTCAGTGGGGCTTTGCCATTCACTGAGTCTACCCCCTGAGTGTGTCTCTTATGGATGTGAAGAGTTTTAATCTTGATGGTCTCACTCTGACCACTGGGTACACTGGCTCTTTGATCTCCAAGGAGGTGCAAAGTCAGCCACTGCCTAAAGCCACCCAGCAGGAACTACAGAGAGATCTGCAGATTCCTCCTCTTTATTTGGGGTTTGGAGGTGCCCAGATGAGGCCCAGCTGCGAAGCAATGCAAGCTGCTGTCAAGCCTTGGGCCTTCTTTTGGAAGCTCTGGGGCTCTCTGACCCAGCTGCAGTTTGTTAGGTTTTAGATTGCAAAAGGCCATGCCATTCATATGCAAAAGTCTGCAAACAGCTTCAGCTGGGTTGTAAATTGGGTGGGGTAGGGTCTCAGGGAATCACCAGGGCAGAGCAAACAACAATGGCTGCCCATCAGCCCTGCCCTGAAGAGGTCTCTGTGTCCCATGGCACCATGCAGGAACAATGATCTCTGCAAGCACCTCTGAGAGAAAACCACCCTCGTGTTCCGGCCCAATGCCAGACAGTCCAGTTTCTCCCTGTATGAGTCTGGGTCCCCAGAGTCTCACCCAGAACTGGAGTTCAGAGCAGTCAGGAGCTTGTATCTCTTTCCTGATTGAAAGAGACAACCACATACACAATTACCAGTCCGTTTCCACATGCGCCTCTGTACCTCCGCACCTCCTCCCAGTCTCAGTGCACTTTTCTCTTTCCTTCTAGTTGTATAACTTCTACTCAGCCACCCTTCCCGTGGTTCTGGATGATATCTGTTTTGTCTTTGGTTTTAATTTTGATGTGGCTGTGCGAGGCAGCAAGTTCAGGTGTTTACCTATGCCACCATCTTCCTTTCCTTGGAGCATAGCTTTAAGCATAGATACATATAAGTTCTTCTCCTGTGATCCTGAATTTTCCATTTTTTACACCTAGCTATTACTAAACTGCATAAACTGCTCTCCTTACCTTACTTTTTGCTTTTTGTACGTGATTCACTGGAGCGTCCTTTCACCTTGCAATTGTAGTTCCTCCCATACTCAGGCTCCACATTGGGCACCACATATGCTGCACCAGCACAGCCAAGGGTGAACCTGAGGAGGTGTGGTGAAGGATTGAAGAAAAGACAGACAAGAGAATACAGCTGGGGCTCAGTGGATCTCCCATGCTTGGATGAGGACACAAAAGACCCAGCCTGCAAGATGATGCTTTATTTTATAGTCTGATTAAAACAAGGGTAGATGAACATGTATACAAATGTTCTTGTTTTGGCAACACTTGCAGCACCTCCCACAGCCAATTAGCTACTTAGGAAGGAATTAGGAGGGGCTACAAGGTCAGGCTTAATTATGCTAGGAGAGCTCTGCCCTCCAGGCTAGGACTTGTTTGTGGCCCTGCCACAGGTTAGCCTGAGGCTTGACCCTAGAGCAGCTCCCTACAGCTCCCCTTCCTTATGGAACCCTCCCAGGTTTTGGCACCAAATTTTAGGCTCGACAAAGGAGAAATGCAGGAGGCAAAATGTATTAAGGGATTATGAATTTATTAGATCATCTTGATACCAGATGGGCTGAGCCCCAAAATGGCATCAGCAGCCATGGACAGGAAGTCAGAGATTTTAAAGGACTCTAGGCAGGTTTTTTCTGGGTGGAGAATTCTCTGGGAGGGTCCAGATCCCTAGGAAGATCCGGAGGGGGAAGGATAATAATCTTAGCAAGTGGAATGTGGTCTAAGCCAAAGGGAATGTCGGTTGTGAAGTGGCCTAAAGGTCAGTTCCCTGGAGAAGGGGGATGGATTCAATATTTTGGTCAGACCTAACAGTTATTTTGCAATATCTATCTTGAAAATATAGAGCATAGGGGGCTTAAGAAAAGTCTAGTTAATTCTTGCTGATTTTTTTAGCTCCCACTGTTTCTTTTTGGCAAAATTTATTTATTATTAAAAATTTATGACTGTATTTTTTAGAGTTTTTTTTATCCTCTTGAGATAACTTCCTTCTTAAGAATCTGAGTGATAAAAACAAAACAAACAACAAAAAACCACACCCATTTACCTGAATATTTTAAATTCTGTCTTTTAAAGATTTAAATTTCATAAATTAGCATATTAATTAACACTCTTTTTAGTATATGAAATAACCTTTCCTTCTCCTCTGGGCTACCCCCTCATTCTAGTGATGAACTATTTGTTATTTAAAACTTAGTCAAGGTGTACATGGGATGCTGAGCTGATATCCAGAAATTTCTTGAATTGACTCAAACCTTCAGTTTTGACATCTTTGAGATTATCCTCCAGTTTAGGTTTCATGAAGCCATTCAGTCTAGACCAGAGGTCTAAAGGGTATCCACTTCTGTAATTTTTGTCTTGAAAATATAGGGGAAAGTGTCTGAGGAGTTATCTGGGGAATGTGAAGATGAAGACGTAGAAAATGAAAGAAAGAGGATCCTGGAGCAGCCGCAGGAGCTGCTGAATTCTTCAGTACTTATTAAGGAGCTCATAAAGGTAACATCTTTCACTGTCCAGCATAAGCTGGATCATTGCTACCCCAGAGCATGCCATTGGTGTCCAGGGTTCACTGTACTTCTTTGGGATCTGTGTATATTTCCCAGTGTAATGGAAGAATTTTTATTGTCTGAAGATAGTGGTCCATGGGGTTGTTTTACTTGACCTACAAATATTCTTTATTATATTGCTTTTTTAGATCTATTTTAAGTGTCCAGTCATTCTGGCTGTGAAAAATATCTCCATTACAATCCAAAAGGGGGAGTGCTTTGGATTGCTTGGACTCAACGGAGCTGGAAAAACTACTACCTTCCAAATTTTGACTGGAGAAGAGACTGCTACCTCTGGGCATGTGTTCGTTGAAGGCTTTAGCATCACTGACAATATCCAAAAGGTAAGACACTATTACTGTCTGAGATGTAAGGTGCCTGATGAGTGGGGTACTGGTAACAGGCAGATGGCAGGAGAGAATAGATAGGAATTATGGTAGGAGTTGATATGATACTGTTGACACAGATTCTGGAGAGATAGTGAAGCATCAAAAGCAAAATCAAGAGTATGTTTGAAACTGTTAGCGTAAAAGGTAAGTTCTGTCAATATCTAGGCTATGCCAGACAGGGTGCTGTAAGGAAAGAAGGACTGGCCTGAGGAGAAGGTGACCTGAAATTGAGTTGCAAACTGAAGCTTTGATTCCTCTTGGGGGGGAACAGGATGGCCTGACTGAGCAATCCCAAATTGAAACCAGGTAGCTGGCCTCTGTATCCCTGAAAAGCCAGTCATTAGCTGCGCATGCTACATGAGAGAGAGGACATAACCTTGAAAAGAAACCAAGTGGGGAAAACATTCAAGAAGGAGAAAATGGTCAAAGATGTCAAGTTCAAGGAAGTCTCAGGCAAGGTAGAGCCCGAATAGGGTCCATTGGCTTTAGTGACTAGAACCGCACTGATGAAGCGCACTGATGCACTGGGGCTGCACTAAGGTGGTAATGGGAGCCTGGATGGTGCATTCTTTCCTCGCCAGTTCATGTTCACCGCCATCATAACATCAGAAGATAGTGCTAGGAGAGCCTGCATATTGTAGGACAAGCATGTCAGAGTCAAAGGCTAACACGGGCCAGATAATCAAGGTGTAAGTTTCTGTGGGCCGCAAAAAAAACAAAAGCTTCAATTTTCATAGAAACATAGGTTTATTTCGATACAGACATGCTGAATACAAAGGGCTGAAATAAATGAGTCATCGTTAACATAAAATAATAGAACATTTTAATAAAAATTAATATTTTTTCTTGAACATTAACTTACCAGACACTGAATAACTGGCACAAATTAATAAGCGTAATGCAAATAAACCTATTTTTCTTGTTCTCCAAAAGCAAAATATTTCCTGTTGCACACACCACACAAGTCAGTCCAAGACTAATGATGTGGCAATCAGCTGCTAAAATATTCACTGTAGTATTAGTGGAGAGAAATAGTGCACCTGTGCACACGGCGTGTAAGGGAAATGAATGCAACACGATTATAGTAATCAGTCATTAGCAAAAGTTGTAGTTCATCATTAATAATTATGTATAACAGGATATTGTAAAAATTAAGTTACAAAATTTTTATTAAAACATTTCTTACATACCATTATATTGGCTGGGCTGCAAAAATATTCAACAGTAGTCTGGTAACAAAGGTGAAGCTAAGAATTTGGATTATAGTTTGAAGAAAGTTATCTGTGAGACAAAGGGAAGACTTAGAATTTATTCAGAGTTGTGAGAATGAGACCGGTTATTTTATACATTGAGCCATTTGATCACTAGACTGGAAGAAGTTGAGGAACTAGAGGAAGAAATGATAGATGATGGAAAAAGGTGAGTGGGTCCTGTCAGGTGGTTCTTGGGATGGAAGGGTGAGTGGGGCTCATCCTAAGTATCCCCATCCATACCACTTACCAAGCCCCTGGGGGGACATAGGTTTGTGAGGAACGACAAAAAAATCAAATGAAGATGGTACCAAACAGAAAAGGCTAACTTGGGAACTGAAGAGATAGTCCATATAAAGTGTCAAATTTAAAAAGAGATCATGCAGACAAGTAGGAGCCTTTTGCAATGGTGCATTCAGTGAGTCTGAGAGATCTTTTCAGTCTTCAAGAAATCTCTCCAAGTTGGCTCATCTGAAACATGACAGATGATCTTTTCATTTCCTTGGGCTTTAAAAATGTTTCTAACATTGTCCATTTTATTGTGGTAAAAATATGTAACGGGAAATTTACCCATTATAAACATTTCTGAATGTGCAATTCATTGGCATTCAGGACATGCATATTATTGTGCAAACTTCACCACTATCCATCTCCAGAACTTCTGCATTTTTTTTCAAAATGAATGTCTACCAGTTAAACAGTAACTCCTCATCCCCCTCCATCCCTGGTATCCACTATTCTACTTTCTGGTTTTATAAATTTGACTATTCCAGGTACCTCATATCAGTAGAGTAATATAATATTTGTTCTTTTATGTCTGACATTTTATCTAGCATAATCCTTTCAAGGTTCACATATGTATCAGAATTTTATGCCATTTCAAGACTGAATAATATTCCATTATAAAAGGACCATGCTTTGTCCATTAATCTATTGATAAATATTGGGGCTGGTTCCACCCCTTGGCTATTGAATGCTATTCTGAACATGAGTGTACAAATATCTTTCAATTATTTGGGATATATTTCTAAAAGTAGATTTTCAGACTATAGGGTAATTAGTTTAATTTTCTGAGGAAATGCCATCCTGTATTTTAAAGTGGCTGCACCATTTTATGTTCTCACCAGCAATTCACAAGAATTCCAGTTTCTCCACATCATCACAAACACTTGTTTGTTTTTTTTGTTTGCTTGTTCTTTATCGATAATACTCATCCTAATGGGTGTGAAGTGGTATGTCATTGTGGTTTGACTTGCATTTGATGTTGAGCATCTTTACATGTGCTTATGGGCCATTTGTATATCTTCTTTGAAGAACTTTCTACTCAATCCTTAGTACATTTTAAATTTGGGTTGTTTGGTTTTTATTGTTGGAAAAGTTCTTTACGTAATCTGGAAAATTATCCCTTACCATATGTGTAATTTGTAAATATTTTCTTTCATTCTGTTGCCTTTCCAATATCCTTTGATGCACAAAATTTTAAAATTTTGATGATGTACAACGTATATACTTTTTTTATTGCCTGTGCTTTTGGTTTCATATTCACACATCATTACTAAATCCAATATCATGAGCTTCTCTTACGTTTTTTTCTAAGAGTTTTATAGTTTTAGAACTTACTTTTAGGTTTTTAATCAATTTTAAGTTAGTTATTATATAGCAGAAGGTAAGGGTCAAAATTCAGTCTTTGCACCCTGGCTGGTGTGGCTCAGTTGGTTGGGCATTGTTCAGTGCACCGAAAGGTTGCCAGCTTGATTCCTGGTCAGAGCATATGCCCTAGTTGTGGGCTCATTCCCTGGTAGGAGGCATGCACAAGGCAGTTGATTGATTTTTCACTCTCACATCAATGTTTTTCTCTGCCTTCCTCCCTCTTCCTCTCTCTCGCAAATATATCATTTTAAAAAATCTTTTTTTAAAAATCAGTATTTGCATGTGAATATATAGGTGTCCCAGCACCATTTGTTGAAAAGACTGCTCTTTCTCTCATGAGTGTCCTTGGCACCCTTGTTGAAAATCATTTGACTATTTTTGCAAAGGGTTGTTTCTGAGCTATCTTGTTTCATTGTTCTACATGTCTGTCTTTATGCCAGTATTACAGTGGCTTTAAAGCAAGTTTTGAAATCAGGAAGTGTGAGTTCTCTAAATTTCTTCTGTTTTGAGATTGTTTTCACTAATTAGGGATTCAAGCTCCCCACACAAAATTTAAGGATGGGCTTTTCTATTTCTGCAAAAAAAAAAAAATGATTAGGATTTTGCTAGAGATTGCATTGAATCTGTAGATAATTTTTGGTAACTTTGACATCTTAATTTGAGTCTCTTAATCTATGAACATTGGATGACTTTCCATTTATTTATGTCATCTTTAAATGTTTTGTAGTTTTTAGTGTACATGTATTTTGTTATTTTCTTTTAATTCTCACCCAAGGATATTTTTTCCCATTGATTTTTAGAGAGAGTGGAAGGGAGGGGGAGAGACTGAGAGAGAAACATTGATGTGAGAGAGACACACCAATTGGTTGCCTCTTGCATGCAACCCGACTGGGGCCGGGGATCGAGCCTACACCCAAGGCATGCTTTTGACTGGAATTGAACCCAGAACCCATCAATTTGAGGGCTGATGCTCTAGTCACTGAGCCAAACCAGCCAAGGTTAGTGTACATGTATTTGGATTCCTTGGTTATTCAGAATATTTCTATTCCGAAGTATTTTATTATTTTTTATGTTATTGTAGATTGAATTGTTGTTGTTGTTTAATTTCCTCTTTGGATTATTCATTGTTGGTGTATAGAAATGTGACTGATTTTTGCATGTTGATTTTGTATTTAATAACTTTGGTAAATTTGTCTCTTGTAACTGATTTTTTGTGTCTGGGGTTTCCTACATATGGGATCATATAATCTGTGAACAATGGTAATTTTACTTCCTTTTAATTTGAATGTTTTTAATTTATTTTTCTTGAAAATGTCTCTGTATAGAATTTCAATCCTCTGTTAAATAGAAGTGGTGAAAGCATGCATCCTTGGTTTGCTCCTGATCTTTGAAGGAAAGCTTTCAGTCTTCCACCATTGAGTGTGGTGATAGCTGTGTATTTTTCTATATTTACTTTTTTATGGTGAGGAAGTTTCCTTCTATTGCTAGTTAGTTGTGTGTTTTTATCATGGACACATATTAAACTTTGTCAAATGCTTTCTCTTCATCGATTAAGTTGATTATTCATTCTGTTAATGTGGAGTATTAAATTGATTGATTTTCATGTTAAACCATCCTCACATGCCAGAAATAAATCCCACTTAATCATTGTCTATAATCCTTTTAACAGGCTACTGATTATGTTTTGTAGCATTATGTCAGGGGGCATTGCATCATTATTCACAAATGATACAGGTCTGTTGTTTTCTTTCTATGGCTTTGGTTCTAGGGCAGTGGTTCTCAACCTTCCTAATGCCGCAACCCTTTAATACAGTTCTTCATGTTGTGGTGAGCCCCAGCCATAAAATAATTTTCTTTGCTACTTCATAACTGTAATTTTGCTACTGTTATGAATCGTAATGTAAATATCTGATATGCAGGATGTATTTTCATTGTTACAAATTGAACATAATTAAAGCATAGTGATTAACCACAAAAACAATATGTAATTATATATGTGTTTTCTGATGGTCTTAGGCGACCCCTGTGAAAGGGTCGTTCAACCCCCAAAGGGGG